CTTTACAGACTAGCAACTTCTGTTCCCCTTACCTTCAGCATGGCAGTGCCAAACAGGAGCTGTGTGTTGAGGGATGCTGGCATGCGGCTGCCAGCGTGGGTAGCCGGCTGCGTGATTTATGAAGGGTTTTTTAGCACAGCCCCACATCCTGCAAAGAAGGTTCGTTCTCCGGGGATTCGTTACTCAAGGAGCACTGTGCAAACACCACTTCCTGGGGGATGTTAATAGTGTCTGTAAGCAGGAGAGAGAGCGCGCGAGAGGGAATCATTGTTTTAGCGGAGAGAGAAATTAGCTCACAGCTGCAAAAGAAAACTCGCCTCTGTGTAGAACAGACCCCTTTGCTAACAACTGAACAATAAGCCACTTTCTTATGAAGGACTTTTGATATCTGCAAAGTAGATTCTGCTAACTAAAAAGTAAGTACTTTCTTCGAGCATCTAGGCTTCTTGTGGTCAGCGTTTCCCTGGAAAGATGGAGTACTAGGCGGTGCTACCTAATTCCAGCCGAGAGCTGGACTTCGGCTGTTTATTTACATGAGTTATTTGTGAATGTGAGCTGGTATACGTGAAGGAGAAAGATGGGACTTTTAGGGCAGTGGTGTGCCACCCGTCCCCACTCCCCGGGACTGGCTTTCAGCCCTACAAGGGAGAGGTGGGGCCGGACATGGAGGGAGCTGCTTCCAGGAAAGTTGGTTTGAGGCTCCAAGTCTCTGCGGGGGCCTGGGAGACAAAGAACAGCACAGAGCTGGGAGAGGAGAAATCTCCTGGGCTTGGGAGCATCGCGAAGTAATGCCCTGGCCCAGATGTTGGTGACCTCCTGTGCACACAGGCAGCTGCGCTGGTGGCATATTGATGAGGGAGAGTCAGGGGAGTGGAGTAGGACAGAAGCAGACAACAGAATCACGAGCTGGAGGCCAAGCCAGCCTAGGAATCTCTTTGGCTTCATCCTCCTTGACCAACACACCCTAACTCGATCTCACCATTCCTAAGACCGGGAAAACTGAGATCTCCAAGGAAAAGGAGGGAAGAGGTGGTGTTTCTCCCACACCTAAAACTAACCGCCTGCAGTCCACTCCGAGGACAGGAGACACTCCTGCATGGAGGGCAGCCCACGGTCACCTCATCACATCAGTCTCAAGGCAGGGGACAATCCAGTATGAGACAGTGGGGCCAGGGCTCTCAGAGCCTAAATACAGAGATACCAAAGAGGTGCATTTTAAGAGGGGACTCTTCTCTAGGAGACCATACTGAGAAGCCAATCCCAGCACCTTTGACTTAACCCCCGACCCTGGCAGGGAGATGAGTTTCCTGAGCCCTTGCTTCCCAGATGCTAATCTTAGAACTCATTCTCCAGGACTGAGATTTCCAGCGGGCCTGTGGAATCAGACAGACCCTCCCACCCCCTGAAAAGTAACCCTGGGATTGAGCAGAGGACAAACCTCTCCCTTCTGTCCCCCAATCTCCTTCCCCTTGTAACATTGTTGTATCCATCAGGACTTACTGCCACGAACAGCAGAAACTCATTGAAACTGACTTCAGCCACAAAAATTTGCAAGGTGGGGTAGCAAGGTGGAGATGTGCTCATCATTAAGATGTCCAGAGTCTCATTTTTCTTTAGGCTTGGCTAAATCCAGGGGCTCAATGATCTCATCAGGACAATGTTTCTAGCTCTTGATGCCTCTCTTCTATTGGGCTCAAATGGTGGCAAAAATGACCCCAGCAGTTCTACATTTTTATGGGCCTGAGAGTCTGAAATTTCAGAAAGAGAGAGACTCTCTTTCCCTAAATGTAGGGAAGGCAAAAGTAGCAAAGCAGTTTCTTAATGGTCAAGCTTGGGCCATGTGGTCAGTTTTGAAACAATCACCAAATCCAAGAGGATGGGACTGCCCAGTTGGAAACGGGAATGGGACCAGCTCCACTTCAACACATGGACTGAAAGTGGGGGGTGATTCCCCAATGGAAAACTGGGAAGTGCTCTCAAAACACGAGGGAAGAAAAGCTGGACAAGTAAAAACAGATATGCACTATAATTATTACTCACATGAGATCTAGTTTAAATGATCAGAAAGGTCAGGCTTGAAGGGGACAGGAGTTACCAAAAATACTCACAACGGACACGTGAAAGAGAGGGGGGCATTCCATAGCTATTTTGTGGCAGCAGAAAGAATTAAATTATGGGCCAGCTGCGTTCACTCAAGTCTCAGGTCTTATATGGCTTCCACCAGCAAACAAAGCCACCTTCTTTTTCAGCCCCGCCCCTCTCCTCACTGGCACTCTGCATGAGTCATGGGCTGCCTATTCTGATCATGACAATCAGGGCGTCCTCCATGCTTATCGTCATCTTCTAGCTAGGACTGCCCTGTCCTCAGCTCCCTGAACAGAGGCAATGCTGGACTCTTCCTTGCCCCGTGGTAGCCACTGACTGGAGAAGAGATGGGCGCATGATACAAGCGTGTTTCATCTGTGGGCACCCCCATGAGATGCTGTGGAGGCAACAGCAATCAACAAAACCAATCAGACCGGGACGCTGGGGAAGTACCTAGTGGCAGCCTCTGATCTTGGCGGCTTTCTGCTGCCAGTACTACTTGTAGTCCACATGACTCCTCACATTAACCACCACCCTATTTTTCTTAAGAGGGTCTTAGGAAGTTTCGCCACTTCAATTTAAACCTCTCTGCCAGAGGAACAACTCACTAAACCCTAGGAGCAGCAGCTCTCGTCGTCCCAAATCCTCTCTGTGACAGGCTAAGTCACAAAGCAGCTCAGAGGGGGACACCACGACAGCTGAATTCTCAACATTGTTTTCAGGAAACTTGGATGCTCAGGGTGGCAGACAACACAGTGCACACACAGCGGGGGTTCTGTGCTATCAAAGGCATCTGTCCACAGAGCAAACTCTCTCCAGGTTGGGAGAATGAACGTTCAAGAGGGTGGAAGGGAAAGGAGGTCAGGACACCCAGCAGTGCACAGTCCTTACTCCAAAAGAGTGGCTCGTTAAAAACACCACAGACAAAGCAAGATGGAAAGGTGCTTCGGGCTGCCTACCTTTGCCCTGGAACATAGGAACGCTTCAGTAAAAAAAAAAAAAAAAAAAAAAGGAATAAAAAATGACAAAAGCTATGGATAAGAACCAGTATAACAAATGAGAGAAAAAGCTATTGCTTCCAGCCGTATAATATATGAATTTTCTCTACTTGTCAGCTCCTCGAAAATGGAATCCTGAGTCCTTTCAGCCAACATCAAGCCTTTCCTGCCTAGTTAACATTAATAGAGGGAGGCAGGGAAGACATGAGCGTAGCATTTGATAAGTGCTGGAGGAACACTGCTTTAGAAAAGCACATTAACCCTTTTTGCCTGTTCCAGCTCCTGCGGGGGGAGATGGAACAGGTGGGCTTAATTGGCTCTGAACAAAGCCCTTGAAATCCCGGGAGAGCTATGCAACCAGATGTCGCCCTCTGGCACTAAGTGTTAAAGAGGAGTCTTTGTAAGGAGCCCAGCGGAAGGTGGGCGGCAGATTTGTTTGAATGAAACTAAGCTTCCACCTTCACTTTAAGACATTTTAGGGTACCCCTCCCCAGAAAAAAGACAACAAGATACTTACAGTAAAAGTTTACAATTCCCGTTCTAAGTGTACCACATAAGGGGTGACATGAAGTTAAAGGGCATCTTGTCAAAACGGCAATACCCATCACAATTGCACCCACCCCTCCATCCGCCATCACGTTCTCTCTCACACTCCCTGATCTTCAAGGCTAGTTCACGTTTCTTTATGGTATCGTGGAAAGACCACTTGGCCAGGAGACAGAAGTCCAAGGCTTGAGTTCTGTTTTCATCGTATGCCATGTGTGTGATCCTGGGCACATCACTTATTTACAGTGAACCTTTGCCTCCTTCACCACCAAGTGGTTCTACTTTATGTCACATCTGCCTCACAGGATTACCAGAAGGACCAAATGTATTCATCTGCCTGACATTTGCCAGACACCTGCTTTATACCGGAAGGTACAAAGGAATATGAAGGAATACATATTTGAACTAGACTCAGTTCCGAGCTTGGGAAACTCACTGGACAGCCAGTGTACAGGACTGCGCTCTGTAAACAGAAGAGCACTTTGCAAAGGGAAACCATTTCTGTTTCCTGTTATACAACCTGTTACTGTCCTCTAGATATATCCTAGATTTCGCCAAGCCCTTGTTCTCCTAGATAGCTTTAGTCTACTTCCTCTTGGTCCCAGCTTACTTACTTCTAAAGTTGTGGCTTCTGAATGAGCTTCCCTTGCAAGGAGAGGAGTTCCCAGTTTTTCTTCCAGGTTAATTTTTATTGAACATGACCTCTAGAAGGGGTAGCTCCTCTCCTGTGAGACTCTACTCTTGGGTCCAGGATAGATTCTCAAACCAAGATGAGCCAATATGCAGACGTAGCCTCTGTCCAGGAATTCAGAATTGGCACACTGGAAGAGGGACAGAAAGAAGCAGCCACGTGCAGGGGTGGCACGTGAATAACGAACTCCAAAAACGAGATCCATCCGTTCAACAAGTGTGTCCCCAGAGCTGTACCGGTCACTGTCTGGGAGATCTCCCTGCACTATCTGTTTTATTTACTTTAGTAGGAGTGGGGTTTTGTTCCTTATGAACAAATGATCTGTCTGACATCCTGTCCCAGATAAGCATGGCCCTAGGACACCAGCCCTAGGCTGGCCTTCAACAGATGTCTGGGTTTAGCCTAGCAACGAACCATATGTCTGTGTGCTGCAGCACACGAGGCTGTAGCCATGTTTTTAAATGGAAAACACAAAAAAGAATAAGCTATTGAAGAGCTAACTCACTATAAACAGAGTTATCCAGTGGAAAGAAGCAGCTGAAAAAGTGTCAACAACATTATCATCTGTGAAAAACATTTAACCCCCGTCAACATTTTAAAAAGATACAGAAGGCCATCAGACTGGCCTTCTGCCTCAGTTAACCTCATTACCTGTCACTCTGCCAGTATCACCAAAGTTGAGCGCTGAACTTCGGCAGGAGCTTTGAGGTTCCAATGGGCCCGTGCTGGGCACTGAGGATACAGGAGAAAATCTGTTCTCACAAGAGCTCTCTGTAAAGTGGAAGAAACCTACGTTGAATTAATAATCACAACGCTGTGACAAACGCAGCTTTAAAAACGTGTTCAAGTGTCCTGAAGGCATCCGGGCCGTGCTTCTGGGGCCGCCCAGAGCCAGCAAGGGTACCCAGGCACCCAAGTTGACTGAAAACTTCTGTGTCTGCTATTTGGCTACTGGGGACATGCTGAGGGCCATGGTGGCTTCTGGCTCAGAGCTGGGAAAAAAGCTGAAGGCAACTACGGATGCTGGGAAACTGGTGAGCGATGAAATGGTCGTGGAGCTCATTGAGAAGAATTTGGAGACGCCTCCATGCAAAAGTGGTTTTCTTCTAGATGGCTTCCCTCGGACTGTGAGGCAGGCAGAAATGCTTGATGACCTCATGGAGGAGAGGAAAGAGAAGCCTGATTCTGTGATTGAATCCAGCATCCCAGACTCTCTGCTGATGCGGAGAATCACAGGAAGACTGATTCACCCCGAGAGTGGCCGTGCCTACCACGAGGAGTTCAACCCCCCAAAGGAGCCCATGAAAGACGATATCGCCGGGGAACCCTTGGTCCGCCAATCAGATGATAATGAGAAGGCCTTGAAAATCCGCCTGGAGACCTATCACACCCAGACTGCCCCGCTGGTGGAGTACGACAGTAAACGGGGGATCCGCTCTGCCATCGACGCATCCCAGACCCCTGACGTTGTGTCTGCAAGCATCCTAGCAGCCTTCTCCAAAGCCACATCCTAGTAACAGAAGGCCAGGCGAGACTGCACCACTGCTCGTCACCCTGCGGCGTGATCCCTGCTCTTAGGTGCTGGGCAGAGGGGAGGGGCGGTCAGGGTAAGGATGGAGAGGGAGGGTTGGTGAGGGCTCAAGAGGAGAATGGGAAGAGCAGCAGTGTCGTAGTGAAGCAATTTCTTTTCCATGGAGTAGGAGTCCTAAAAAGTACAAGCAAAGGGAAAAATTGATTTTTTAAAAGACTGATTGGAAGGGATAAATAGAAACAGGGAGATGCAGTATTATTTCTAAGGAATCACGTTGTCATTTACTCCAGACTGGTGACGATATTTTTTAAAGCCAGTGCCCTAAGACCTCAGCTTTTATCAGAACCTCATGTCAGCCCAGGAATGCCGGAAATCACACTGTTGTCCTGTCTGTCCTGTAGCTTGGAACAGGGCAGGAGGTGACTACTAACCCTGGTTCCCCAGACCGTGAGATCAAAGTCATCTCCCCATTTGAAAGAGATATAGAGTGTGTTCATGGGGGTAGGGGCTCAGCACATCAGGTTTACTGGAGTCATGGGGCAGGTGGGGCAGGCCGGTCTCGCTCCCTTCCCAACTTACCACTGATGTACCGGCCCACCGGCTCTCGTGGGTAAGCTCTCGACAGCCACCCAGCATATGCCACAGTCCTACACTCTTGCCTTCCTCCATCCATGTCGTGTGGAAAGACCCTTTTGAATAAATGTGCAAGTGTCCTAAGCGACCTTATCCAAAGACTGTCCTTTCCATCCTCAAATCCTGTGACTGGGATCACTCAACAGCACTGTGATGTATTATTTTCAATGAGGTACCTTTCTTAACTGTCCAAATGCTGCCTTTGTTTGGCCCCTACATCAATAAAGTGTGCTAAATGTTTGCAAAAACTAAAAATAAAAAATAAAAATGTGTTCAAGACAGAGAGCTAACACAGAGACAGGAGTGATCAACAACATCAGGGAGGAGGATAGGAAGGGCTTTCTAGAAAAAGCTGGCTTTTGAAAACTGAATAGGAGTTTGCCTGGCAAATAGGGTGAAGTTAGAGGGGGGAGAAAGAAGAACATTTGAGGAAGAGAGAATAGCATGTCCCAGGACCACAATCCTTCAGCCTCTGCCCCTGACCCTCAGGAACACCCACCACCCAGGCTACTCTGTCCGCTATGCTCTGCTTGCCAAGATGGGTGCCCTGGACAGCACCGGAACCGGCCACAGCTTCCACTGCTGCAGACTCAGCGTTTCACATCCTTGGCGAGGCTTGCAGTGGCCAGCAGCCCCCGTTCCCACGCGCCTTTCTCCAGGTCTTTCCTGTGGTCTCCATTTATTCCTCCTCTCCCGGTCCTTTGGTTGAGATCCCAGTGTGTTCTGCTTCCAGATTCACCAGAGCTAGGACCCTGGGGATGCAGTGAATGCTTCTTGCATGGGGGTGGGGCCCAGAAGTAAACTAGGCCCTGGAGGAGAAGATTTCCATGAGTGGCAGAGAGGAAAACCTTCAAGGTTGGGGGGGTGAGCAAGTGGTGTATTCCTCACAGAGCAGGATGAGGGGAAACCTAAGAGAGAGAGATTTACATTGGAAAAGACACTATTTCAAACAGAAATGTCCTGGGCAACCCATTACACGAAGGCACTGAGGGCACGGTGGATCCAAACAGTCCTGAGAGTGAGACCTTGCGCCACCATGGGTCAGAGCTGAGCAACATTCGAAAGCTCCAATTTGTCCTAAGTGAACCAATGTGCAGAACTAATGAGGTCATCAATTTTTCTTCCAGTTAATGAACTTGTCAGGAGGGGTGTGATGCGGGAAGATGATGAGATGAGCAACCAAACCTGATTAAATAGTTTCATCTTCATCAAAGAATCAGACACAGAGCTGAAGCCCCATTATTCACTAGAAGGGGATAATTACACAGAGGGGGCTGCCGTCAGACCCACCCCTCCCCTCACCCAAGGGGCTCCATTCCCTTGGGTACAGGGAGTGTGTCAGACCTGGGAATGGGCACTCATTTAATTCAACAACTATTTATGGGCAGTTTGCTCCATATCAGGTGTGGACCAAGAACAAAGGATGGAGACGAATAAGATCTTGTCCTTGCCTTTAAGAAGTTCATGGTCGATCTAGCATGGAACAACAGCTAACTGAACTATGCTATGAAAGATGTTCCCCCAGCACTTCACACCAAGTGCTATGGAGATAGTGGCGAGTGGGAAAGAGAGAAAGGGGAGAGAACCCAGGAAGTCTTCTCATAGGTGGTCACTCTTGATCTGGGCTTTAGAGATGAGCAGAATTTCATCCTGGAAGAAAGAGGGGAACTATAAGGGCATATCAGGCAGAGAGGCAAGCTTGAGTAAAGATAAGGTGGTATGGGGGCTTCCCTGGTGGCGCAGTGGTGGAGAGTCCGCCTGCCAATGCAGGGGATGCAGGTTCGTGCCCCGGTCCGGGAGGATGCCGCAGAGCGGCTGGGTCTGTGAGCCATGGCCCCTGAGCCTGCGTGTCCGGAGCCTGTGGTCCGCAACGGGAGAGGCCACAGTGGTAAGAGGCCCGCGTACCGCAAAAAAAAAAGATAAGGTGGTATCATAATATCCAGCTTGTTTGGAGAAATGTAACCGAGCAGGACCCTACAGGGCCTTCCTCACAGGACTCCCCCCACCGCACCCCCATGTCCTCCACCTGCCGTTTGTCTGTAGAAAAACTTTAGTCAAAGATTTAATCAGAGAAGTGAGAAAATGCAGAAGGAAAGGAAAACAGTCAAACAGGACAAATAATAACAGTTCAGTCATTAAGCAAAGTCAAGGACTGTCATTATCTGCATGAAAATGGGTCTAAGCCATGTCCAGGTTTCAGCCAGAGGGAGGGAAAAAGAGAATGTGGAGGAGGCTTAACTAAAGTCCAGATAGAGAAATGGCATCCAGCTCGCGTTTTATTGGCAAGAAGAATGCCACATGACCAAACCTAAATGCAAGGGAGGTTGGGAAACGTAGCATAACTAAGACTGACTACGACTGTAATACCATGGAAGAAGGGGAAAATGGATTTAGGTGGATAGCTGACAGCTTCTGCAACACTGCCTAAGATTGTCAAGTCTAATTTGTGGCCTCTTTTGCACTGTCATTTCTTACTAGGCTCTAGGAAATCCATAATAGACTTAAACCTCTTTGCTTTCCTCACGACTGTGACCTTACTACAGCAGCACACAGCAACCACGGACTGTATGCCATTGTCAATGGTAATTGATTAGAAAGGAATTATGATTAAAAACAATGGGCTTTCGCCACCCTATACTACAACCAATAAACAAGTCTGTGCCTTCACAAAAAAGAGCTAAAGATTTCCACCATTTGAAAAAATACCCCCATGGAACCCAGGCAAACCTCTGTAGAACTCCAAGATTTCACTGAGCACAGTTTGAAACCCTTAAAACTACTGATGGGACAGGGTTGAAAGCTTCTTAAGAATTCACCCTGTGATATAGACTCATGAGCCTATCTCCATTTCTGCAAACTGAATAGTACGAGTGTTTTTTCCGCTGCAGATTAGGAGAGCTAAAAGTATTGCTGGGAGTAGAATAGTTTGGTATCCATCAGAAGTGTCTCCCCTGCCTGCAAGATATTCTCCAACCGCCCTGCCATGGCAGGCAAGGCTCTTTACAACCTGACCGCTGCCTAACTTGCCCAACTCAATTCCAACGTTTCTTTCCGCTGTGCGCCCTGAACCCCTTGCTCTCTTCCGAGTGTATCATAACCTTTTGTACCCTTATCCCTGTGCCCATCCTGTTTTCCCCCCCGCCTGGTCTGGAATGTCTTTCTCCTTTATTTCTGCCTATTGGAACTCTGCCCTTCCCATCAAATTTTTCCTGATCCTTCCAGCCTCATGTGCTTTTTTTTTCTTCCGCGGCTCTTTGCTTGTTCCTTATGACATGTTATATTCTATCCTGTAACATTTGCTGGCTTCTTCCATGAACTCTGCGACTAGACTTTAAATTCTTCTAGGGTAAGGATGAGTCTCACTTACCTCTTCCTCCCCGCCATGTCTAGCCTAGTATCTTGAGGTAGTAGGACTCAAAAAAAGTTTTATTTTTTTGGTCGTGCTGCGCAGCTTGCGGGATCTTTGTTCCCCAACCAGGGATCGAAACTGGGCCCCCCTGGCAGTGAAAGCATGGAGTCCTAACCACTGGACAGCCAGGGAAGTCCCCCCAAAAAGTTTCTTGAATTACCACTCCAGTCAGAAGTCTGGAGACGCTATACATTAGCTTAAATTCAGTCCCTCTTTAGGGAAGAGAAAGTACTTCCTCACATGCCTAGGTAGTCAGTAACTAACGTGCATTTCAAGGTATGATTTTAGATTTAGCAGCAAGGCATTGCCTTCCAAACATAAGTTTATTCAACTATTCGTGTAACATGTTTTTTGTAAAATGTTTGGATTAATAAAACTTTCTCTGAACAGCTCCCATAACAGGTACGAGGAATCCAATATTGAACAAGACAGGCTTGGCCCTTTTCCTTGAGCAGCTTACGGTTCAGCCTGTCAGAGAGCCGTCAAATCCATTACCAACTACAGACACTAACTGAGAGCCCATGGTGTATGAGGCATCACACCAGCAGGGCTGTGCACTGGCTGCGGTATGCAGAGGGGAGCATCGGGTGACAGGTCACACACAGAATCAGTATCTGGTTGAGGAGATAGGACATATATAAAAACAACAACAAAAAAACACTGCTAAGTACCACATGTTCCTCACCAACCAGGAAATCAGTCATCAGGGGAGGCAGGTCTTTGGAGGCAGGATTCCTTGCTAAGGCCAGGTAAGTCCGAAAGACATCGTGGAATGGGAGGGACATGTTCTAGGCCCTGGCAAAAGGCTGGGCTTGGATACAGGGAAATGAGGGAGTAGTAGGGCCCTCCAGGGAGTGACAGAGGAAGGTACAGTGAATTTAAGAAAAAACAAAGCAACTTTACAGGAGCAAAGCCTTCACCCTATCCTTTCTGTATTAATTCAGCACTCACAATGTACAATGCACTGGCGAGGTGCTGGGTGGCTGTCACATGGGTATAGGGTGTGGCCCTTGCTCCAGAGGAGTTACAGTTCAGACATGTGCAAAAAGAACCAGCAATCAGGTAGTATTTCCTCGCCTGGTGTCATTCCATTCTCTGCTTCGACTTAA